AATTTCATATATATATATATATATATATATATATATATATATATATATATATAGCATAATGAGAAGCCATGTATACTTTCTTAATATGTATATATAGAAAAAGAGTAATTTTAATTTATTTGTAACAAACAGTTATTTCTGATGAAAATTGAGGACAATTTGAAATATCCAAATATATATATAAATAAATAAATACTTTCATAAAATAAAACATTATTATTTTTTAATTTGAAACTTTTTCTATATATATATATATATATATATATATATATATATATATATATATATATATAAGGGTTGCTAAAGAGTAGTTGCCTCAACTAGCCACTTAAAACCTGAAAAAATATAAGAATCTTCTTTCATCCTTTCTTGGTTGGTTGGAGATTTTTGTGTGTGTTTGTGTATATATTATACACACATCACTTGAGCAATGCATATGGCTTAATATTTACTACAACTGTTATGATATTGGTAGGAAGTTCTATTCACATAAGACGCTCTAGAAACATGGCCTTGTGTAAAAATTAGAAAAATCACGCACACACGCACCTCATTATTTCAGAAAATGTTTAGAAATTTTTTCGATCCCAAACAGATGACATTTGACATGAAGGAAACAAGATGGCTGAACTCAAACAACTGCACCAGTATAATTCATCTTTTTTCAAACAAAGCCAAAGTTAAATGTTAAAAGAAAAGAAAAAAAAAACAACAAAAGAAATCTGGGCTCTTTTCAAAGTTCATATTTTTAATGAGATATTTACATCATGTTCACAAGACAAAGGCCAGTCTTGACGTATTTTAATGCATGCAAATAAAAATAAAGACAATAATATTAATAATAATAGTAATAGCATCAGAAAGGAATTATAATAATCATAATTCCAATAAAAGCAGAGTCTTGTAGAAGAAGAAAAACCAGGTGCTGCATTTGTAGTTGCATGAGATGCACTGACCTGTTGCAGTCACTGCGATTCTGATCCTCAACTACATTGTCATCAGCAATAATACAAAATACAAACACTAATTTCGGCATTGAAAGAGCAGTCAACAATTAAGGGGGGGTTACAGTTTGTGTGGGAAAGGAAAAATATTAGTGAAAAGATGAAAAAAAAAAAAAAGAAGAAACTAAAGAAAGAAGAAATGAATAAAGGAAAGAACTTCAAGAAAGCAGATAAAAAAGAAAAATAGTCAAAAAAAAAAAAAAAAAGGAAAAAACACCAAGTCAAGAATTACAAAATGGAAAATAAAAAAGGAATTTTTTTTTTAAATTATCAGAGTAACTCAAAAAGTAATGTAAATTTATTTTATTAAGAAATAATAATGATAATAATAATAAGAAGAAGAAGAAGAAATAATAAACACAATCAAATATATCATACATCAGGATGCAGCTAGACATCATAGGTTCACATCCCTACTTCTCAAAATATTCACCACCTCTTTCCATGTCAATGTTCCACCTATGAATGAGGGCATGTATCCCAGCTTTGTAAAAATCATCTGGATGCTGATGTAGCCAATTCATTACAGCAGTTTTCACTTATTCATCACCGTCATAACATCTACCCCTCAGTGCCTCTTTCATTGTACCAAAGAAATGAAAGTTGGTGCTAAGTCAGGTGGTGATGGAAAAGTGTAAACTGCTGTAAGAAATTGGCTATATCAGCATGCAGATGAGTTTCGCGAAGATGGTATACATGCTCTCATTCATAGGTGGAACATTAACATGGAAAGAGGTGGTGAATATCTTGAAAAGTAGGGATGTGAACCTGTGATGTATATTTATATCTTGATGCACAATATGTTTGATATATGTTCCTTATTTCTTATATAATAAAAAAACAAATTGCATTACTTTTTTTTTTTTTTTTTTACTCACTTTCGTGCTAAATTTCTATCATGTTTTTTAAAAATGTAAAAAAAAAAAAAAAAGGAAATAAGAAAAAATACCTAGAGATAAAAATAAAAAAGAAAGAATTAAATCTGAAATAATATTAAAAAAAAAAAACTTTAATAAAAAGATTAATTTTTGCTAGAATTTTATTAAAATTGCACATATAGCCAAAATTTGAATTTCATACCGTTTCGACACAAGTTTCCAAGCTTCATCAGGTGGTGATGCTGAATGATCAATAACAACTAATGTATCCAATCAAGAACAATTGAGAGATGCCAGTCGAAAAGGTTATGATCTCCAACTCTTGGAAGATATAAAAATTCAGCAATGTACAAGACGTTTCTAGATATTAAACAAATTTTTAACTGTTCTCCTGATCATAAAATGAATCAGATTTTGATTGGTTAAACTCCCCCTCCCACCACCAAAAAAAAAAAAACAAACAAAAAACAAAAAAAAAACAATTATAGTCACCAATTATTCTATATTGCTAATTACAGGGACTAACAGTTTAGATAACTTTCTGCTTCAGAGCTCACAAGACATCAAAAACAACTCTTACGAACAAAGTGACACACATAAAGACACGCTTGTCTGAATTACCAAATATTTTTTTTTTTTAAAGTTTGGCACTGAAAGCGGCCAATTTCAAAACTGCATTATAAAAAAAAATTAAAAAAAAAAAAAAAAATAAACGAACAAAAAAAAATATGCAAATGTTTTTTTTTTTTTACCGCCCGTGCTTGCAGACATTGAGCTTTAGACTGTCAACTCATTCTCAAGTATGTATTCCCCAAACAATATTACAAAGTTTTAATCTGTAATGAAAGCTCAATCCAAAACATCGAATTTTCTATATTGTCCAGAAACTTCTCATCCCAACAAGACCCTGTCTTTATCTTTATTTTTTTATACTATTGTTCACTCAATACAAGGCCCAAAAGCAACCCAAGGTAGAGGGTTACTGAATGGGATTGTTGTAAGGGTGCAAGGGGGCAGAAGGAAGTGGGAAGAGGTGCATTTATGAGGATATGTAGGATAGATATTGGTTGACCATAGACTTGAAGAGTTTTGATTGTAGTAGCCAGAAAAGCATCCCCTCAGGAGTCTGTTCCACAAAGTGACAACAATGGAGAAGAAGCTGTCTGAGTTGAACTTTCTCCTTAAGCAAATAAATAATTATCATTTTTATAAAATAATATAATCACAAAAAAAAAATAAAAAAAAAAATATTGTATCAATCATGTTTTGATTCAAAAACAGTTTGAGACATCTTGAAAACATCCTAGAAAAACGGTTTACAAGATGAATATCTATATGGAATTAGAATTCAAGTTTATTCTTAAAATTTTTTTTTCTTTCTTTCTTAATGTGTGTGGGGGGTTGTCTGCATTCATGCTGAATCAATTAGATTCAAGGTTATGGGTCTACTGTGCACAAGAATGTAAATTATAAGAAAAAAATAGAGGGCAGTAGTTTCATCAGGTGTAGGCGGCATAACCTCTAATCAGACACTTTCTATCAGATACCATCTCAAACATGAAACAGGTAATCTGTTTTGTATCATCATCAAGTAAAAAAAAAAGAAAAAGTTTACCTCCCCACTCCTTCCTTGTCACTATACTTAATATTTAAAGACCTCAGTTATCAGTTCCTCTCCTGTCCACATATACACCACTGAACTCTCTACACCATCACTTAATGTAGACCAAGAAATATCCAATCAAAATGCTGTGAACTTTGACACTACTTAAATATACTGGTCTGCCCATAAAAAAAAAAATAGGAAAAATAATTTTTGTGGATTATCATTCATTCAACCTTCCTCACGACATTTGTCAGAAAACATGAATATTGATTTTTTTTTTTTATTATTTTAGAAGAAAGGTTCATAATGATACGGTGTAAAATTGAACTTTGACTTTTTACTGAGGCTAATATTTACAAATGTCAAATTTGAAACTGTGCTTATAACATTGATATCTGCATTTTTTTTTTAATTTTCTGAATTTTGTAAGAAAAGAAAAAAAAAATTTAACCTCTCTTTTTTAATTTTTTTATTTAAAAAATATTTGTGGGGGGGAACAGATGCACAAACATTAGGGGATAATAATCATTTATTGGAAATGAAGAATAAACACATATATACTTTTATTAATTTATGTAAATTGTTGTCCTTTAATTAAAATTGTATATATCTGTTTGTCATTTATTTAAAAAAGAAATATTTTTGGAGAAAAATCTATTCCCGTATACAGAACAACTAAGTCCAGATATCTGTAAAAAGTAACTCTATAAAAAGTCAAAGATCGATGTTACACTGTATTTATATTATAGACAGGATCCCCCTGCTAAAGTGAAAAAAAAAATTCTTTTTTTCTATTCTGACAAATGTTGCATCTTCAGGAATGTCTAATGAATGCTAATCTGGAAAAATTATTTTTTTTCTAAAAAATTTCAGGAAGGTATTCTGACAAATGTTTAAAAAAAAATTTCTATTCTTCATCTTCAGGAAGGTCTAATGAATGCTAATCTGGAAAAATTATTTTAAAAAAAATTTCTATTCTATGTTGCATCTTCAGGAAGGTCTAATGAATGCTAATCTGGAAAAATTATTTTAAAAAAAAATTTCTATCTGACAAATGTTGCATCTTTAGGAAGGTCTAATGAATGCTAATCTGGAAAAATTATTTAAAAAAAAATTTCTTTTCTGACAAATGTCACATCTTCAGGAAGGTCTAATGAATGCTAATCTGGAAAAATTATTTAAAAAAAAATTTCTTTTCTGACAAATGTCGCATCTTCAGGAAGGTCTAATGAATGCTAATCTGGAAAAATTATTTTAAAAAAATTTCTATTCTGACAAATTTCGCATCTTCAGGAAGGTCTGATGAATGCTAATCTGAAAAAATTATTTAAAAAACAAAAATTTTTCTCTATTTTTTAAGAGTAGACCAGTCTACTCAAATAGTGCTGGAACTTCCATCAAGGAGGATGAGTCTAACAACCTGGGTAATAGACTAGACAATCCTTGAAAAATGTCTCTTTTTACCCTTCCTCGTCCTCATCCCCCACCAAAGAAATTATAGCTATCAGCAAATCAAGTTGCCCGCTCTCTCTGTACATATTGGCAGTCGTTGGTTAGAGGTCGATATCTGAATGGCAAGGCAGGTGTCCGTGTACACTGCTTACGTACGACAGACATCACGACAAGGACAAGGAAAGTTAAAGCTGCAAACGCTGTCACCACATAGTATGTGTAAATTGGCAATTCAGGTCCTTTATTTTTAGACTGCGGCCCTTCTGGTGATTTAAGAAGGAGATAGGCATTTGGGGACATGCTTATGCAGGCCTGATACGAGTCCGTGGTCAGGCGGGTGATGGCACAGACATGCTGCTGGAATTCTTTAGCATCGGGTTTCAGAGTGCTCTTCTCTCTGTAAGACACCGTGTTGTACTGGAGATACTTTTGGAACTTGGCCATTTCTTTTTTGGGAAATTCTTTCACAAGGTTGTCAAAGGATTGTGGGCTCATATCGGTCACAAGCATGTCCTCCAGCGCACGATATTCAAGCTCCCAGTTCGCCGAGTTAGAAACTGGATGAATCTTTTTAAGATTCAGGTAGTATTGGTGATAATTAATTATTTCTCCTGTTGTTCGTCGATAGAAGTATAAACGAATTCCGGGATTGTTTGGACCAACTCCTGGTAATGAACTGTTCATTGGACTTACTGCTGGGGCCATCAGTAAAACAGACACCGGAATTTTGCCTGCAAAAAACAATTTTTAAAAATGAAAAATTGAATGTCATTTTATGAATAACACTTACATATGAATGTCATGTGATGTATATATTTGTGTATTAGCCACCTTCAGGTATATTGCAACCCTTGAATTTTTTTTTGAATGAATGAATGAATGAATTTTAACCCCTCCTGAAAAAATAACCTGTGTATAGTGTAACCTATCACTGAAAATGCATTTTTAACCTCTTAAAAAAAAAAATTATCTGTGTATAGTGCAACTGCCTATTTTTTATATAAAAAAACTGAACATAAAAACTAGCACTATCCTCAAGCAATTTTTTTTTTATAATTGGTATCACCCTATGTAAGGCAATAAAGCCACTAAAACACAAGGGGTTACAGGGTGGGGAAGAATTAAGAACAGAAACATTAATAATGAGTGGGAAGAAAAAGATTCATTAACAGAACACGAATGAACTGTTATTGCTCTTACTTGGATTGAAGAAAGTTTCCTTACAAACCTTTTGTTTTTGGCAATGTTGAAAGTTAACATCTTTGAGTTACATGTGCAACCCATTCTTTTTGTTGCTGCTGTTGGAAGTCTTCAAGTGATGTGATATTTGTTATTTAAATTTCTCCACTATTTTGGTTCTGTGGTTCTAAGCATATACATATTTAGTTCCTTGGTAATGGTGAAATTATCCATTTCCATGCAAGAAACAGTCATCATTCATTGATCGAACAGTTAACATCACTGTCAATTGAAATTTATGAAGTCTTTTTCTTAAAACAGTATTTCAGGAACTTCAACTTCTCGAGTCCACTAACAATTAGGGCACTTTATAATACTGATAGAAGTTTCCTTCCTAACTTTTTATTTTTGTTAGTGTAGAAAGCTTGAGTTTATCATTAATTTCTCACCAGAGTTATCGCCCTTGTACTAGTGATGGTAGGAAAATTACATTTAAAGACTTGCTCTTGGTTTCTCCTTGGTGCACACTGCTTGCGGAGCGGCCATGTTTATACTGTAACAACCGCAAGAAAACTGGTGCAATCAAGCTCAAACTTCAAGATATGTTATGGTAAAAGTGCAAGTAATTTTGACTTATTCTCATATATATATATATATATATATATATATATATATATATATATATATATATATATATATATATATATATATAGTAAGACAAAAGTGAGTACACCCCTCACATTTCTTCAAATATTTAAGTATATCTCTTCATGGGTCAGCACTGAAAAAATTACCTTTTGACACAATGAAAAGTAGTCTGTCTGCAGCATATATAACAGAGTTAATTTCTTTTCCTCAAAATATAGCCATTAAAAGCTAAATCCCTGGCAACAAAAGTGAGTACACCCCTAAGAAACTACACCCCTAAATGTCTAAATTGAGTACTGCTTTTCATTTTCCCTCCAAAATGTCATGTAACTCATTAGTGTAACTATGCCCATGTGTTCATGGGAAGCAGGTGTATTCAAATTTGTAGTGAAGCTCTAACACTCTCTCTTACCGGCCACTGAAAGTTCCAATATGGCACCACATGGCAAAGAACTCTCTGAGGATCTTAAAAAACGTATTGTTGCACTACATAAAGATGGCCAAGGCTACAAGAAGATTGCCAACACCCTGAAACTGAGCTGCAGCAGAGTGGCTAAGATCCTCCAGCATTTTAAAAGAGCAGGGTCCACTCAGAACAGGCCTCGGGTAGGTCGTCCAAAGAAGCTGAGCGCACGTGCTGAGCGTCACATCCAAATGCTTTCTTTGAAAGATCGGCGTAGGAGTGCTGTTAGCATTGCTGCAGAGATTAAAGAGATTGGGATTCAGCCTCTTAGTGTTCAGACCATATGCCGCACACTACATCAAATTGGTGTGCATGGCTGTCACCCCAGGAGGAAGCCACTTCTGAAGGCAATACACAAGAAAGCCCGCAAACAGTTTGCTGAAGGCATGTCAACAAAGCCCATAGATTACTGGAACCATGTCCTATGGTCTGATGAGACGAAATTTAATTTATTTGGTTCTGATAGCCTTAAGCATGCGTGGCAGCGACCAGGTGAGGAGTACAAAGATAAGTGTGTCATGCCTACAGTCACTCATGGTGGTAGGAATGTCATGGTCTAGGGCTGCATGAGTGCTGCAGGTATTGGAGAGTTATATTTCATTGAGAAAAACATGAACTCCAACATGTACTGTGAAATACTGCAGCAGAGCATGATCCTCTCCCTCCAGAAACTGGGTCGCAGAGCAGTGTTCCAGCATGACAATGACCTCAAACACACATCCAAGACAACCACTGCTTTACTGAAGAGGCTGAGGGTAAAGGTGATGGACTGGCCAAGCATGTCTCCAGACTTGAACCCAATAGAACATCTTTGGGCCATCCTCAAGCAGAAGGTGGAGGTGCACAGTGTCTCAAATATCCGCCAGCTCTGCGACGTCGCCATTGAGGAGTAGAAGAGCATTCCAGTGACTTCCTGTGAAGCTCTGGTAAACTCCTTGCCCAGGAGAGTAAAGGCAGTTTTGGATAATGATGGTGGCCACACAAAATATTGACAGTTGACATGTTGTATGTTAATATTGACAACTTTTCCTAAGGGGTGTACTCACTTTTGTTGCCAGGGATTTAGCTTTTAATGGCTATATTTTGAGTTATTTTAAGGGAAAAATAAATTAACTCTGTTATATATGCTGCAGACAGGCTACTTTTCATTGTGTCAAAAGGTAATTTTGTCAGTGCTGTCCCTTGAAGAGATATACTTAAATATTTGAAGAAATGTGAGGGGTGTACTCACTTTTGTGATACACTGTATATATTTTAGAGGTACAGTGGAGTAATTGATAGCAGCTTGGATTGAGGAATTGGAGAGCCGAGTTAGAATTCCAGTTGAATCCATTACAATCACTTATGTGCCAATACCCTTGGGAAAGGTGTGAATTCTCTTCTCCCCGCAGCTATGGGTAAATAGCAGGTCGGACTGGGTTCTATAGCCTTGGATGGCAACTAGTCTAGGAGAAGGACAACTCCGAATTCAAAACCTGCGGAGGGTCGTTTGGAGGCCTCGTGGCACGTATTGCACCAGGTCTCTGTATTCGACCCTTCAAAAAGTGGTGTGGTTGGTTCTGCACAAAACCTTCACCACTATAATAAAATCTCATGTGCTGGTGTCGGGCTATCAGTTCCTCAGAACTGATCTGCTTGACCCTCATATGTTGAATTTAACGGAAGAGTCAAATATATATATATATATATATATATATATACACACATATACACACACAAATATTGTCTCATTTCTATGATTTTCTCAGGATTCTATATCCTACAAACACATAGAAATATATATGTATCTATAAAAATATAATATATACATATAAAAAATAAATATATATATATATATATATATATATATATATGAAGAAATATAGTCTTAAGGTCTGCTATATTTATGGGATAAAGTGCTCGATATCAGAGATAGAGCATGTGTAAATATAAAAGTGAACATAGAAGTCAACACTTAGAGGCGACAGTCTGTTTCATGCTATATGCATTATTTTATGTTTACAAAACAACGTAATATACCAAGCCATGATAAAATCACCAGATAATGAAGAAGAAGTATACATAGGAGTAACTGAAGGACCCTGGAAACAAAGAAATTATACACACAAAACATCTTTCACAAATAGTAAATATGCAAACAGTACAATGCTTTCTAAGTATATCTGGGAAATTAAAAACAAAATCCACATCACACCAAAAATATCTTGGAAAATAAGGAAAAGATCACCAGCCTACAACAACCAATCCAAAACTTGCAAACTTTGTTTGGAGGAAAAAATAGCTATCATTACTTTCCCAGACCAAAATAAATTATTAAATAAAAGATCCGAGCTCATCTCAAAATGCAGACATGAAAACAAATTTTTACTACATTACTTAAAAATTGAAAACGGAAAAAATAAAATAAAAACAAATAAATAAACAAGTAAACAAAATAACAATAAAATAAGCAAAATTAATTAATCCAAACAAAATACCAAATCACACCTGTTAGAATAGACAAAATAGAATAATAATAATAATAATAACAAAAAACAAAACAAAAAACAACGAACCCAAATAAATAAAGAAAATAATAAACAAAGTAGCAAACCATTACAACCAAAATATTAGTTAGACTAAAAAATCAAACCAAAAAATTGAACAAAAATATAGCTATGACTGTTATACAACGATAAAAAATAAATAAATAAATAAAATAAAAATAAAAAACAAATAAATAAATACTACGTTACTTAAAAATCGAAAACCGAAACGAGAAAATATAGAAGTAAAATAAATTGACCTAAATTCATCCAAGTAAACAAATAAACTAACCAATCCCGATAAAGTTACCGTTAGAAAAAACAAATAAAGATAATCAACCCAAATAAACACAAATTAAAAACTGTTTCTGCCAAAATAATAGTTAGAATAAAACTACAACAACCAACCCCAAAACAGAACAAATAGCTTTAATTAAATTCTCAAACCAAAACAAAACTATTAAATAAGTGATATAAACAAATTTTTTAAATAAACGACTTCCGGTAAAATAACCGCCATAATAGACTACCCACAATGCACCACTGACCCGTATATGTATAAATAGCCGAGAAAAATAACAGCACACGTGGCCTGACGATTGCATATAGCATGAAATAGACTGTCACCTCTAAGTGTTGACTTCTATGTTCACTTTTATACACACACATATATATATATATATATATATATATATATATATATAGTTACATGTGAGACAAAAGAAATACGATAAAGAGAAGTAAAGGAAGCCACAGAAGACCAATTAAGTTTATTATAGGAAGAAAAAAAAAATTTATTTTAATTTTAGCGATTTGGTCAGTGGCTAAAAAGGGAAAGACAACGGCGGCGGCTTACCAGCAAAAAGTTAAAATACTTCAAAGTAACTTGAGTCAGTAGTTGATTTCTTTTAGCAGACAGTTGTATGCCCAGCCAGTGAACAGTAGAAAATGAACTGGTTCTTCACCAGCCAATTGGCTTAATTTTGGTGCCAACTAAGGAAAGCCCAGATGAAGACTCCACAGTGTCAGGTCATCTGGACCACATCAAAGAATTACTTGAACCTTTGACCCAGGTTCAAAATTATTAAAATAAATGATTTTTTTTTTTTTTTTCAATCTTGATTAAATGGTTCCTTTTGTTGTTGCTTTCTGAGATTTTGTATAAATTTAAATTATTATAATTTGTGGAAAAAAAATCTTGGGTCTGTAGCCTCCCAGGTCATCAGATCTTACCCAATGAAATTTTTATCTCCAGCAGTATATAAAAGAAAGTGTGTTCTACCCATGCCTATTACTCTTGAAGATTTGAGACATCAAATTGTTGAACACATGAAGTCAATATCCAAAGATCAATTGATTTGAGTATGACAAGTGGAATACCATTTTGATGTTTGTCGTGCAACACATGGTGCTTATGTCGAGTGCATACAAGTTGAACAACCTTAAAATAATAAACTTTGAACCTTTTCTTATCCAGTAATGTGTTGAATGTTTTTCTGTCTCTTAGTAATTGTTTTTATTAAATTTTTCAAAATCTTCTCTTTCTTTTTGAATAACTCTGTATTCAAGAAGTACCGAACATTAACAAGAAAATGCAAGGCGACAAAGTTTTTGAGATTTTATAAGTACAATACAATAGCTTAAATCTTGCAACCATTTTCTGATGGCCAGAGTTAAAAGGTAAATCTATAAAACTTACCATCATAGATAATTTTGAAGCTGTCTGTGTGCTCATGCCCATAAATCTGTGCCGAAATAACGTGATTGTGTTTCTTGAGAATATCAACCAGTCGATCATTGAAGGCCGTATACATCCATGTTATGTTCAGGGACCTCTCAAAACTGCCAGGCGGAACGTGAGCCATTAGGATGGTCTGAAATTAAAAACAGAATATTAATCAGCTTTTCAACTGACATAAAGCAGAATGATTAGATTGAATTGATTGCTAAGTCTGCTGCTAAGAAAGTTGGTTTATTGTGCCATGCTAGACCATTTTTGTCTATATTTCTGAGATGAGTTATTATGTACACTATTTACATTATTCGAACTATCTTTGTCGCCATATTTATTACGTTTCGGCTGTTGTACGCTCCGGCCTTCTTCAGGTGGTTGGAATGTTGAACCCGAACCCTTTATTTCGCTCACTGGGATAGACTGTTCTAGTTCCACGTGCCATGTTTTAATGGATGTCAGTTATCTTAAAGGTGGGGGGCTGTCTCGCCTTTATATTTCTTTCCGCAGGTAAAGCCTCAAGAACCCCAGAAAGCTGTAACACGAGGAGAAGTGGAAAAATCTGGCATGGCTGACCACATATGGAGAGAAAAGGGAGAGAACCACCCACTGTGGGATCAGGTTGAGATCATAGAGAAAGAACACCATTGGAAAATTCGTAAACTTAAGGAATCAGCACATATACTAGGCCACAAAAATCTGAGCCAACCAAGCATAGAAATGAATACAATATTGGAACCAGTAATAAGGAGTGCCAGAGAAAAAGTGATATTAACAACAAAAATTGCAGTATGAGCTCTGGTAAAAATATGCAATGATAACAGCAAAAATTGCAATATGAGCACTGGTAAAAAATGATTGCTGAGACATTAGGTTTATAATAACCAGAAATTCATACACAGCACAGTGGATAAAGGCATTGGTTAGATCCAGGACCCAAAGAGTGTGAGTTCAATACCCGGTTAAGGCAGTGGAGAACTTGGAGAGGGGAATTAACTGATAACTGACATCCATTAAAACATGGCACGTGGAACTACAATAGTTTGACATTCCAACCAATAGTAGACCATTTTTCTCTCCAGAATCTATCATACATATTTATAAGTCTAGTATTTGTCTATGCTTTGAATATTACTGACACAATCTGGTCTGATGCTCCTGCTATATATCCCATGATTCTTAAAATCCAAAGAAGGGTCTGTAATATTATTAGTCCTGACCTGGCATCTCAACTTCAGTCACTTTCCCCCACCACAATAATATAGCTTCTGTAATTTTTCTATACAGTGTAACCCGGATATAAGAGAGTTGTCGGGACCAGAGAAGAAGTCTCTTATATCGTCTCTTATATCAATTGTCTTGATAAGTACACACACTAAGAAGAACTTTGTTCATGTAATGCTAGTGATATTATGGGAATTAGAAAAACAAATGCAGAAATGTAGCCATAACAAAACACTACTACCTGCCTTAGGTCTTCCCGCAGACTTGGTAGGTAGTGTGACCATACTAGAAATCTAAATATAATGGTGATAATAATAATAATAATAATAACAATAACAATCGAAAACTCAAAAACATGGCAGATGAGGATATTAACAATTACAGTTGTAGTTGGAACCCTCGGATTAATTGGAAAAGGTTCCGATAAACTCAGAAGGGATTCCTGGTAGTAGCCCAAGCCTTAAAGAAATACAAAAAAATTGTATTTACAATACAGCCCACACCTTATGAAGGGTTTTATCTATGTAAAATATGTGTGATCTTCGAGTTTGTTTCTTTATTTTCCTCAAAAAAATGCTCAGTGAAAAATGTCATGATGCCATTTCTGAACTTAGGTCTCTGGTAGGGACCCAGAAAGAAATGAGTATACACCAGAAACTAAAGGAAATATAATATGATGATAATAATAATGATAATAATAAAATAATAATAAACATAATATATTAACATTATTGATACAGAATAATATTTTTAATGAGTCTATTTGAGAGAAAAAAAAATCCTTTTTAAAATCATTTTTAAAGAAATTCTCAAAATGTTTTGATAAAAAATGAAATATCTTGGTATGATTATTGTGCAGTTGTTTTCTTAAAAAATTTTGAAAAGAAAAAAGAATTTTTTTTTAAAAAAAAGTTTAAATTAATTTTTTAACATGTTCCTTATGAGTTTAAGAGCAAGACTTATTCATAAAATTCAAGCTTTATGACTGCATTATAATGATGACAGCAACAAAAAAAATATGTCAAAAGAATTAATAAAGAGGATATATGCTCTGATGTCTGTAAAATTTTAATATTTGTTTAGCAATTTAATTCTTTTCATAAAATTTACACTTATATCCCTCCCATAAAAAGAGAACCACAATTAACTAAAACAATTGGAAAATTCATGTTTTTTAAGCCAAAAATGAGTCAATGATGTTTGAGCATTTAACATTAGTAAATGTTCAAAATCACGAAGTTGACAGAGTTATTACCCTTGGCTCATAAACCAAGTTTGGTTTATTTTATGGTTTATTTTGCTTTACAGCATATCAATTTCAGCGGGTTATCTAATGCCAACAAGATTTTTAGGATAGGTTCATATGAATACAAAATGTACTAATAATCTTTTCTTTTTTTTTTCAAAAATGTATTGCTGGTATTTTTACTATAAAAATGTATTTTCATACTTTCATAGTGTTTTGACCCCAGTTTGGGGATTGACTATTTGCCCAAAGCTGGGACCCTAACAGACACTACCACCCAGGGTCAGGGTGGACCTGGGAACAACAGTAATTAAGAGGTGGTTCTATGCTTCTCATAACCTCCCAATCAAAGGCCTTGCTGCTGTATGTAGTTTATCATCATACCCAGTATGGTAAACCAAGTTTGGCTACAAAGTAACTAAAAATCCGTTTGTGACGTATGGTGACCATTAATAATCGAGTATAACTGAAGACTTCAATGTTAAAATAAAACAGTATTTAATTACAAATGTAAATAAATACTTAACAAGAACAAAGAAGTAAAAGTCAATCAAAGATTAACCATTTCAGTGAATACCTTGTTAGTAACACAGCTCGGTTTAACGTCCGGTAAATCCGAAATCAAAACCCAAATCACTGACGCACAATAATTCACACTAATTTGACTGGATAGTTCCACTCAATAATCACTGCAGTCAGTATCCTGATACCGCTATATATAAACCTAGCAGAAAACATATATTCCTAAGTCCAGAGTGTCACACTCGAACCTCAGTGTCAGTAGTTACTCATTTTCTTCTTATATGACAAAAACTGTCAAAACTAATTGTTTTTTTTTAGTGATGATATATTCGTAGCTTAACTTTGCAAATCAAGATCCAGGTGTATTTTCCATGTCTTTTGTAAATTTACAGGTGGTTTATGAGGTTAATATGGAAGAGGCACACTTATCCAGAACAACTGCAAAAAGAGGGTTTGTCAATCTTACAGTGCTGACCGCTTTCCTATGATTACTTTGTTGTGGGAGTTTGTGGTAATAACAAGAAAAAACAAAGAATGAGTTCATATGCTCACAAAAATTTCAGAATGATAACAATGTATCTGAAACTAATAGAAATTTTCATCTGTAGGAATTTGCAACCAAAGAATGTTCTAGAATAGTTTGGCCAAAATTTCGCAATGACATAAGCAGTCCAAAGAATGAGACGAATCATACAAAAAATTCTTGAAAAGTAATTCTGGGTAACTTTACAATATTTATTCTTGAAGAAGTGATGACAGGTATTCATAGTTGGGATAAAAATGATCTTGAAAAAAAAAAAAAAAAATCAACATCCTCTTCCAAGTGTTCCAAGAAGGAGGACTCAAGACACACCTTTCCAAAATAGAAATTAAGATCTGGAATTGAAATGAAAGAAGTTATGGCGCATACCCTGAATCCATCATCAAAATTCAGGATGCAACATTACTAAATAACAAATACTTCAAATAACTTGGTGTATGGATCAATTCTAACAAACTTTGTGTAGGACATAAGAACTGTCCTGGGTATGACAATAAACTACATCCACGTCCTAGGTAAGACGATAAACTACGTCTAACAGCAAGGCCTCAGATCAGGAGGTTTTGAGGAGCGTGGAACCACCTCTTAATTGCTGGTGTTCCCAGGTCCGCCCTGACCCGGGGTGGCAGTACCTGTAAGGGTCCCAGCTATGGGCAAATAGTTAACCCCCAAACTCGGATCAAAACACTATGAAAGTGTAAAAATAGGTTTTAATACCAGAAATACTTTGTATAAAAAATTATTACCAGCAATACATTTTTTAAAAGAAAAAAAATATATATTACCAGCAAAGGAAAATTCTTAGCAGAAATAGATTTTTGAAGGAAAAAATATTATCAGAAATAGATTTTTTGGAAAAAAAAATATTACCAACAATGAAAATTCTGTTGGCATTAAATAACCAATTGAGGTAAAACAAACCAAACCATAAGAAAATTGAATATAGAATAGGGATAGTTTTCGCAACATAAGGTGCTACAAAACCAAAACATTTATCTAAAAACTAGAGTTGTGTTCTTAAATAGCCTAAACAGATCAAGACATTCATTTGAACATCATGTATGGTATCTAACTCATTCAGAAATATCAAACATCAGCTGTATACAACTCCTTCCTCAGATCAATGATTAACAATGGCTTCAAGTGAATGGCTTCAAGCCTGTAGGTCTTAGTGGGGAGTTTTTTTCAAACTTCATGGTCTAGTAATAGAGAATCACAAAGAATTTTATCATATAACAGAAACCATATCACTTGACTATACTTTATATTATTATTTAATATTTAAAAGCATTATCCTCTATTATTTAATATTTAAAAAGTATTATATTCTATATTATCAATTATTTAATATTTTATTTAATAAGTATACACCGGAGGATGGTGAGGTGGTGTCTTCATAAAGGGAGGGTGCTGCATAATTTTTCATAAGAAAAAAATAACAGGTATTTTAAATATGTTAATAATAAAGTGAGGTCGGATAATTATTTAACAGGTCAAAAAGTTTTAAATTAATAACCTCAGAGAATTGGAAAATTTCCTCAAAAAAAAAAAAAAAAAAAAAAAAACATTTTTAAAAATAAATAATAAATAAACACACACACACACATTATTAATTATAGGTTTTTCAATATAACCCATTAATACCCACCATCCTCAAAATAGGCAAGTTAGCTTCAATAAGTTAAGTGTCTACATGTGGACAGACTTTTTTGAAAATATGCTAATTTTTAAATACCAAGTTTAATGGATAATTTTAATGAAACAAAGCAGGTGATATCAGAAAAATGATAATTAGCTTTTTTTTCTTTTTTTCTATCTTCATAAAATATGAAAAATAAGAGAATTTTACTTATCTTAATCTGTCAGTTAAAGCATCAAAAATATTAATGGGAGGCTCAGGTTTGCAAAAACTACTTAGCCTACAATTTAGATCACTACCACTGAAATTCCGTCATAAAATTAGATGATTTAGCAACATTTTTTACATGATATAGAATTCATTTAAAAATAAATCACATAAAAATGTATAAATAAAAAAACAAATAAAATAAAAAAACAAATAAGATAAAAAATAAATAAAATAAAAACAAATAAAATAAAAAACAAATAAAATAAAAAAACAAATAAAATAAAAAAAACAAATAAAATAAAAAAAACAAATAAAATAAAAAAAACAAATAAAATAAAAAAATAAATAAAATAAAAAACAAATAAGATAAAAAAATAAATAAAATAAAAGATATTTTCAAAAAGGTTAGTTTAGCAGAATTATATATAATTTGTAAGAAGTATAAAATAAATGTTTCTTTTCAAATCAAACAAGTTTCCAAACACAACAAAATTTGTAAAACTGTGTTTTGGTTGAATATGGTTTTATTAAAGAAAGAGCAAACAAAAGACTTTCATTACCTTTTCCCCATGGTCAGAAGCATATCTTAACTGTTGATCAAGCCACTGCAACTGATTGCCAGGGTCAGTCTTGCTGACGGTTTCCTTATCAAGGCTGTAGTAGAGGTTAGTGTTCAACGAAATGATTCGCAGGCCAGGACGGATTAGGCAGGAGTAGAAGCCACCTACAAGAGAGAAGTAAGATGCATTAGTAAATAGTGCCACATTGGTGAAGCACATGTTTAAGTAAGAAAAAAAATTCTGGGTTTAGAAGTAGAATTATAATTAGTTAAAAAAATAAATAAAAGTAAAAGAAAATGGCTACATCAGTAAACCAGTAAACCGTGCAAGGTAAGTGAGTTTCATTACTCCAGAATTTTTTCTACAATGAATAGACACAAGAGTCAATAAGCAGAATTTAAAATTTGAAAAACTGTAAAGATGACTTTGTGGAAGTCACATACAGATAAAAATGATTTTGTGTCGCATCCCGCCCCTGTGGGGAGCCACGAAAATACTGTTTGGTGTTGACGGTTGGGAGAGGAGTACTACAGTGTAACCCGGATATAAAAGACCCGGATATAAGAGAAACGCGGATATAAGAGAAACCCGGATATAAGAGAGATTTTCTCTGGTCCCAAATTAGAGCCTGTGTTAATGTATATATAATAAACCAAAACCGGATATAAGAGAAACCCGAATATAAGAGACTTCTTCTCCGGTCCTGACAACTCTCTTATATCCGGGTTACACTGTACTTGGATTTGTGGCTGTTTGGATTTTTTTTTTCTACATTGTAAATAAAGGAACAGGAAAGGTAAAGAATGCAGAATCCAAAAACAATAAGATTCAATATTTATAAGATGAAACATTATGGACATTCATCAGAACTAAATGTCTACATTCCCCCCCACCACCACCAGTTTAGACATTTGTTAAACATAAAGAGCTTTCCTTTTTAAGTACTAAACTATACCCACTCTATGTTGTGCCTCCATTATATAAAATATGTAAGGTTGAAGGGATGAAAATTTGTCCTTGTAAAAATATTCAATCTCTTCCACAATGAAAAAGGTAAGGAAAAAAGAAATCAGGTAAAATGTAAATCTAAAATTTTTCTATTCCAGAATTTGTTAAAATGCTCTTTTGGCCCTACCTACAATTGAACTTCCCATCCTGGGCTAACAAATTTATGAAGATATTAGACTCCTCCTTGGGCACCTCCAGGTGGTGTAATGGTTAGCAAGATTGTCTCGCTAGAACAATTATGACTGAGTAGTGAGTTTGATCCTTACTAGGTGCCCCATACTTTCGACCTTGTGCCACATCTAAGCTACGCTTGGAAAATAACTATTAGAGCTCCTCCTCTTCAGCTTAATAGATGTGTTCGAGGTAGTTGCAGTAGCAGGCTTGTCTCCCTTCCTACCAAAGTGGATTTAACCATTAGATATTATTTAAATTTATTGAAATTTCTCCTCAGTGAACATATTCCTGATGAAGTGCTGTCACTCAGTTTATTGAGTAAAGATCTTGTTTTGACACGATGGACATTTTTTTTAGTTCAATTAGGGCTTTTTACAAAACTGTTTTTGTTTTTAGTCCAGTTTCTTCTCACAAAAAGTTTTCATATGACAGGAAATAGACTAGATACAAGAATATTTCTTAATGACATTTCTTACTACTTCAACTTGGTCTGTTACTCTTACTGCTACTTGAACTTCCTACTTTATTCTGTTTATGGGGGACATTCCAAGGTGAAAGTATCTTCTTTTCAAATCTAAACAATATATGCTGTTAAAGGTTGACGGAGTGGTGGCCTTGAAAAAAGAAAGAAAAAGGCAAAAACAGATAAAGTGTAAATACAAGATTTTATGATCAAGAAATTGTTGGTGATTTTTATAAAAATCGTTTTTTTTTTGTCTTTCATTCTTAAGGCAGTTTTTGTATGACAAAATAGACAAGACACAATGATTTCTTAATCTCCTCTTGCCACTTCAACTCAAACTGTTACTCCAACTTGCTAGGTAGCCTTTTATTTATACATGTTGCAAGAATGTAGTTTTAAGCACAACAATATATGTGAATATTTAACAGAAAAATGCTTGTCTCTATTTGAATGTGAATATAAATTTCAAATAACTTAATAACTATACATTTTTAAAAGCTGAAACTTAGCAGATTAATAATTTGATATACGTTTTAAATGTTGTATAATCTATCTTTCTCCATGCATTATAAGTTGATTAAATTTCATTTAGTATCTAATCAATAGGGATATTGAATATAATTAATTTTCAATAAAAGAATCTTTTATTCTATCTGAAACTGATTAATTAATTAATATGTTCTAATTAGGCATTCACTATAATTTGACTCTGTCTAGTTGATTTTATTAATCTTAATTTATATAGATTTGTAAAGTTTTTCTTCACAAACACTAAAGCTGCTTTATTTACATTATCTACCATATTGTTTGAAAGAGAATGTCAGAAGAGACAATTACCTTTTAGGAATTGATCTTGTTCTTCAGGCTTTAGCAGAATATTCCAATTGCTAACTTTCAACAGTTGATCGTAATAGTCTCTGCCTTCATCGGCTGGCATCTGATTGGACGGAAATGCATCATGATTGCCAATTGTCGGATAGATGGTCACATTGCTGAACACTTCTTTGAGCAAGTCTGTCATATTTGCTATCACTTCATAAACCTTCTTCATGCTGTTATCAGAATTTTTTATATGAGGAATACTGTCTCTGAAAGAAGAATAAAAGATGAATACATAAAAACAGACTAAGAAATGACTACAACATGGCAGACAAGCGGAAGCTGGCTGATACAACGGCCAGGTGGGAGCTGGCCAATACGACAGATGAGTGATGTAGACCACGGATGGCTGGGAGCAGGCCAAGATGAATACAATGGACAGATGGGAGCTGGCCGAGATGTAGACATCAGACAGATGGGAACAGGCCCAGATGCAGACATCCGGCAGATGGGAGCTGGCCCAGATGCAGACATCCGGCAGATGGGAGCAGGCCCAGATGCAGACATCGGGCTGATGGGAGCAGGCCCAGATGCAGACATCCGGCAGATGGGAGCAGGCCCAGATGCAGACATCCGGCAGATGGGAGCAGGCCCAGATGCAGACATCGGCTGATGGGAGCAGGACCAGATGCAGACATCGGCTGATGGGAGCAGGACCAGATGCAGACATCGGGCTGATGGGAGCAGGCCAAGATGCAGACATCAGGCAGATGGGAGCTGGCCGAGACGCAGACATTGGATGGAGGGAGATGGTCAAGACAATGAGCAGATGGGAGCTGGTTGAGACAATGAGCAGATGGGAGCTGATTGAAACTACAAACAGATGGGAGCTGGCCAAGATGCAGACATCCGGCAGATGGGAGCAGGCCCAGATGCAGACATCTGGCAGATGGGAGCAGGCCCAGATGCAGACATCCGGCAGATGGGAGCAGGCCCAGATGCAGACAATGGGAGCAGGACAATGAGCAGATGGGATCTGATTGAAACTACAATCAGATGGGAGCTGGCCCAGATGCAGACATCCGGCAGATGGGAGCAGGCCCAGATGCAGACATCCGGCAGATGGGAGCAGCAGGCCCAGATGCAGACATCCGCAGATGGGAGCAGGCCCAGATGCAGACATCCGGCAGATGAGAGCAGGCCCAGATGCAGACATCCGGCAGATGGGAGCAGGCCCAGATGCAGACATCCGGCAGATGGGAGCAGGCCCAGATGCAGACATCGGCTGATGGGAGCAGGCCCAGATGCAGACATCCGGGAGATGGGAGCAGGCCCAGATGCAGACATCCGGCAGATGGGAGCAGGCCCAGATGCAGACATCCGGCAGATGGGAGCAGGCCCAGATGCAGACATCGGGCTGATGGGAGCAGGCCAAGATGCAGACATCGGGCAGATGGGAGCTGGCCGAGACACAGACATTGGATGGAGGGAGATGGTCAAGACAATGAGCAGATGGGAGCTGGTTGAGACAATGAGCAGATGGGAGCTGATTGAAACTACAAACAGATGGGAGCTGGCCAAGACACTGGCAACAGACAGATTGAAGCTAGTTGTGACACAGACATTGAATAGATGGGAGCTTATCAAGATACAGAGATGAATGGGACCCCTGGCCATTTTCATGAAGTTGTCTATCACTGAGATGCTGTGGCTGGTGGTTAGAATCATGTGCATGCTAAAGTTTGATGCCTGCCATGTAATATTGGATCAGATAATCTTCTCAATAAATGTTTATTCTCAAATATCTTTGACACCCAAGATCAGTGGTTCCTAAATGGTGCAGCACGCCTCATATGTGCGGCAGAAAAGGAGAGCAGGTGAGGCAGACTGACTGAAAGACAATGAAAGATTTAGAAACAGTTTCAGAAAATTCATGTGCGAAAAAAATATGATTCCGAAATTTGAATTATTATTATGGATTACTTGTAAATTGCATGCATGAGTCCTAGTATAGATTTTTATAAATAATTATTGACCAATTATATCATTGTGATATTTTTGCATTATATCAAGTATTAAGAACTAGCAGTAGAGCCCAGCGTTGCCCAGGGATGTAACAGTAAGAGATAGATCAAGTATCGACCATCATAAAGACTGAAAAATAAAATTGACAAAGATTATTGTTTAAGGTTGACGGACACGCATGTCTTAATTAGTTTTTTTTTTGTTTTTTTTTACGAATTGGTCAAACCCAAACAAAAACATTGTTTTCAATCATTATGATGAGTCTACCGATTGATTAGAATTTTATTATAAACAATTGTCTTGTAAATGGAATTTTTAAAGCATTCTGAATGTAAAAATAAAGAAAAAAGTGTGCAAGAAAATAAGAAACACTACCTGCCAAAAAAAAAAGTGAAGTTTTGTTGAAATCGGTTGAAAAATGTAGGAAATCCGATCCCATATATAAATGAACACACACACACACACACAAACAACCTGGGTTTTATAAGTATAACTCGATATGAGTTGTCCCCCCTTTCATTCTCATGATGCCTCTTAATCGTGTTTTCAAATTGATTTCATGCAAAAACAATTGTTTTTTCCATTTTTGGCAATGTTAAAACCACCACAAGGTAATTTTACATAGTCCTGTGAAGTTTTGTTGAAATTGGTTGAAAAATGTAGGAAATCCGATCCAATATACAAACGTACAGACACACACACTCACAATCTGCGTTTTATAATAAGTAAGATATAGTAACTAGGATCGGCAAATTGGAGAAGAGAGTTATCAATGATAATGTCCTGACTGTGAATCTGCAGTTATCTCACTTTAAACCTCTCTCAATATTTTTTATTTTTAAATGTACTTTTTATCACAAAATTTGGTGACGTAAAGCAAATTTTCAATCCAAAAATGTGGCCCAGAGAAAAAAAAAAGTTTGGGAACAACTGCCCTAGATTGTGTGTGTGTGTGTGTGTGTGTGCGTGTCTGTCTCTGTGTCTCTCTCTCTGCCTCTCTGTCTGTCTGTCTCTCTGTCTCTGCCTCTCTGTCTCTCTCTCTATGTGAGCATAAAATGGGGTCCTTATACTAGTCTTTCACTGAGCCAGATAAATCAATCCCCAAAAGTTTGTTTCGCTTCTCATTTACATGGATGTACACAAAGACTGGAAATTAAATCAACAGCAAGAAATGAAAACACTAATCCAGTTCTCAACAATTTGGTTTTTATTTCAATGGGGTCACCACTTGAACCCAGTATTCTCTCTGGTAATAGAGAAGTGGCACATAGGTCACTTCATCTCTTCTTACTGCCAAGCCAAGCAACAGCTACCAACATGACTAGATGGATAAATGGTTCCTCTCTGTCCCACCCTAATGGGGGGGAGGGTCTTTACTTATATAAGGCTGCAGATGGAATATCTGATTACTGACAGAGTGTCATTTGACCTCACATTTTCATTTATTTATTATTTTCTTCTCCTTTGCTCAAGTGGGTTGCCACATTGAACACCAGACTTCAAAGACTATCTTCAGACCATTAAAAATCTTGCGACACTTCTGACTCAGATAACATCATTTATAGGCCACTTAACTGTGTGTGTGTTCAGTCAGTAATATGGAGGGGTGCAGTTGCGACACGTGTGCTGTAGCATCCAATTTTAAAGAACAAAAGTTTAAAGGTGAAAAAAATTTCAATTTTACAGATCTGAAAAGGATAAACACTAAAGTAAAATTTTCAAATGCATTTTTATATTACAAATCATTTGCAATTCATTTTTATTTTACAAATCATTTGCAATTTATTTTTATAGTAAAAATCATTTCCAATGCATTTTTATAGTAAACATCATTTCCAATGCATTTTTATAGTAAACATCATTTCAAATTTGAAATTTATAAAATCCTTCTCTGAAAAGCATCTTTCAGGCAAACAGACTTCACCTCTATGGTTATTGCTCTTTCTAATATTGATAGAGGTTTCCTTCCTAACCTTTTGTTTTTGTTAATATGGAGACTTTCCACATTAACAAATATGATTATATCAGTATTTTCCATTTTACTTATGCAATCCATTTTTGTTGCTGCAGCTGTTGGAAATCTTCCATTGATATAGTTTTTGTTATTTGGTAAAACTCTGATTTTGATAATGATTGTCTATTGGCGTCTTTGTTGTAGCTGAGATACCAAAAATGCATATTAAATTTCTGATAACTTGGTTCTTACTTGGATAATCAACACAAAACAGTCCTTTCCCCTATTCCTTCCAACTGTCCTTAGCCATACAAAGCTAAACTTAGTCAATATAAGGTTTGCTAAGGTTATATGGAAAAAGGAATGCAATTTCACATTGTTGTAACACAATCTTCCTATCTTCGTTTTTTTCTTATATACAAAACCATATTGAGAATTACTGTATTTTCTTGTGTATAATAAGAGACATTTTGAAGGAAAATTAAAGGTAAAAAGGGTGGGGGAATATTATACACATTTTCAGAAATTTTTATTCAGTTTAAAATACCTCTTATCTGAAACAACAAGATTGCAGATATACTCAGCACAATAGATAATAAAACACAAAAGAGGAAGGTGATGCTAACAATTGTTTACAAAAGGTATTTGATATGTCGGCCATATTTGTTCTTTGGGAATTAGCGTCTTGTCTCAAAGACAGAAAATTCACCAAAAATGATTAAAAAAAAAAGTTAAATTAATAAACAAGATCTGTCTCATTTTGATAACATTAATGCTACAACAAAGCACCTTTCCTGGAAAATTTGAAGATAAGTTCTGAAACAGAAATCAGGAGAAGAAACATCCTATGGCTAAACAACTTGTTCATTTCTATTTATTAATATCATGAAAAATTAAATATTTAATGAAATACATATTCGACATTGAGATTTCAATGGATAACATGGTACAATTTTGCAAAAAAAAAAAAAAAAAAAAAAGTTACATACAGATGGTTGTATTATGGGGTTTTATTATACTCAAGAATGTAATTTCTTCCCTATTTTTAGCTTTGGAAATCTGGGGTCTTATTATATTCAAGTCATATTATCTTACTTATTATAAAACGCAGATTGTGTGTGTGTGTGTGTGTGTCTGTTTATATATTGGATCGATTTCCTACATTTTTCAACCGATTTCAACAAAACTTCACAGGACTACGTTACAATTACTTTCTTGTGGTTCTGATAGCGCCAAAAATTGGAAAAACAATTGTTTTTGCACGAAATCAATTTGAAAACACGATTAAGAGGCATTAATGAAAGGGGGACAACTCATATCGAGTTATACTTATTATAAAACCCAGGTTGTTTGTGTGTGTGTGTGTGTGTGTGTGTGTTCCTTTATATATGGGATAGGATTTCCTACATTTTTCAACCGATTTCAACAAAACTTCACTTTTTTTTTTTTGGCAGTGTTTCTTATTGTCTTAAACACTTTTTTCTTTATTTTTACATTCAGAATGCTTTAAAAATTCCATTTACAAGACAATTGTTTATAATAAAATTTTATTCAATCGGTAGATCCATAATGATTGAAAACAATGTTTTTGTTTCAGTTTGGGTTTGACCAATTCGTAAAAAAAAAAACTAATTAAGACATGCGTGTCCGTCAACCTTAAACAATAATCTTTGTCAATTTTATTTTTCAGTCTTTATGATGGTCGATACTTGATCTATCTCTTACTGTTACATCCCCGGGCAACGCCGGGCTCTACTGCTAGTACTTAATAAAATACAGTATATCTCTCCTTTAAGTTCCAAGCAACATTTCCAACAAGAAATTCAATATTGACAGCAGACAGAGAAAGAAAACTGCAGGAACTTTGAGACAAGATATGTAAAGGAAAGAGAGAAGAAAGGACTATTATTTGTAAGAAGAAAAAAATGTATAGTCGTTAGAAAAAGGAGCAGCCCAAAATGAGAGCGACAAATTGGAGAGATCAAAATTAAGCCAGTGTAGAAATTTAACTATCTAGGAAGTGTTTTAAAAGATGACAGAAAACGTGATGGTCCATTAAAATAGCAAAAGATGCTTTCTAAAAGCTAAACAAAGTATTAACAAACAGGAAAATGTTGTTAGAAACAAAGAATAGAGTGCTTGTTATGTCATATCAATCCTCCTATATGGCAGAGAATGCTGGATAAATTCTTCGTAGATGATAAAAAAGACAACAAAGATGTGGTTCTACAGGTGTATGCTGAGAATACCATGGACAGATAATATGAGATATGAGGAAGTTTTAAAGAAATTAATAATAAAAAGAATGCATTCTTTGAAGAGATAAATGAAATCTTTAGAACATTTAATTTGAAAAAAAAAAAATCACATAGGGATGGCTATACAACGTGGTTGTAGGATGCAATTTATTTCCTGTTTTTAGCTTCAGAAACACAGGGTAGTATTATACACAAAATACTATAATATTATACACAAATACTATAATATTATACACAAAATACTATAATATTATACACAAAAAATATGGTATGTATTTGTGATAACTTACTAACCAGTGCACCATGCTGAAGATCTCTACATGATTTTCTAAGCATAGCTTAGACGTGGAGCACACAATAACAATCAAACTGATTACTCAGTCATAATTGATCTCACAAGACAAGCTTACTGACCATTACACC